TTAAAGCAACATAATTTGTTCTGGTTTCTCCCTCACTGTCAGTTTTTGCTGCTTTCAATTGCTCCAGCTCACTCTCATTTGCTGGTTTGTAAAAAATCTTGTGAGTCGGGTAACTGAGCTTACTAATATGGCATTAGAATTATAGTACAAAGGTTTTCTGAGAAGACCCGAGGGCCTTTCTGTTAAGTTGAATAAAGGAGCTTTATCTTCTTTCTAGGAGCTTTTTTGTGACATTATTTCTGAACTATGATAATAGTTCAGAAAACTATTATCATTTTATTCTGTGCTGTGCTCAAGGTATTTGAATTATAGACTTTGGAATAAGTCCTGCTATCAGTCATGCCAAAGTGGAAGGTACAAATATTAATTCCTGTTGTTCCCAATTTAATCACATATGGCTGTATAATGAACAACTCTAAAGAGACCCAATAATATCTTGAGCACTTTTTCTCAGTTTGATATTTTGAGACAGGAGCCTGCTGTTTGTTTTGTCAGGAGGAAAATACTTTTGTATTTGCATTATATCTAATACAATGTTATGTTTATTCAATTTGGAAAACAAATACTTAATAAATTTTTTAAAATGCAAATTAAAACAAAGTATACTTTATTGCTGCTGTAACAAATTACCACGAACAGTAGTTTAAAACAACCCTCATCTTTTAGCTCATGTTCTGTAAATCATAAATCTAGGATGGCATGTCTAGATTATATGCTCAAGGTCTCAAAAGGCTAAAATCAAAGTATTGGCTGGATTGTGCTCTCATCCAGAGCTGGAGGCCATTTTCCAAGCTCATTCAGACTGCTGACAGAATTTGTTTCCTGTGGTAGAACTGAGGCACTTCTTCCTTGCTGGCTGTCAGGTGAGGGACACTCTGGTCACCTAGAGGTCACCTTTATCCCTTCCATCTTCAAACCAGCAGCTCAAGTCCTGCTCATGCTTCATATCTCTTTGACTTCCCTTTCTGCAACTAGCCAGAGAAATATCTCCCATTTTCAAGGGTTCATGTGACCAGGTTATCTTCCTAGATTAAGGTGAACTGTGACAGCATAACAATCCAATGGAGTGATTTCTTATCACATTCCCAGGTTCTGGGAAATAGGTCATTCAATCTCAGGAAAGGGCATTTATAAAACTCTGCCTTCAGCATATATTAAGTGTGATTAATTTGTCCTATAACCAGGCTAAGTGGTAAAAAGTTGTGTTTATCAGAGTGGGTTCTAGAGCCAGGTTAATATTGTGGGTCCACTAGTTATTATCTGAGACACACTGAGCACTTTACTAAAGCTTTTGCTGATTCATCTTTTCTATAAATTTGGCATAATAATAATAATACCTATGTCATCAGTTTTTAATAAAAATTAAATATACTTCTCATATGGTTTCACTTACTTGTGGAGCATAAGGAATAACATGGAGGACATTAGGAGAAGGAAAGGAAAAGTGAATTGCGGTAAATCAGAGGGGGGAATGAACCATGAGAGACTGTGGACTCCAAGAAACAAACTGAGGGTTTTGGAGCACGGGGGATGGGTGAACCTGGTGGTGGATATTAAGAAGGGCATGTATTGCATGGAGCACAGGGTGTGGTGCATAAAAAATGAATCTTGGAACACTGGAAAAATAAAATTAAATTAAAAAAATTAAATGTACTAATACATGTAAATCTCTTAGAGCATAAGAAGTACTCACTAAATACTATCTTAATGTTACTATCTTATTTTTAAGTCTACTCAAAACCCTTTACTCAATATTGACTTAACAACCATATTTCAATAAGACATGCATAATATGTTAGTAATCCTGAATAATATATGTCATTATTTCCCTTGATGTTATGACTACTTTTTACAGAAAATGATATTTCAGGAGTTATTTCAAATAAAGCAACATCAAAACTTCATATTATTTTAAAGGCCAGGCACCTTGCCCTTACCTAATACAGAGTATATGTTAAGTAAATTATAAAGTATCTAAAAATATACAGAAATATATGTAGTTTAATACCATAAATATAGTCTCAAAAATAGCTGCCATTTTATTTCATATTATTCTATATGCCAAGAATGAGATTTATCTTTGAATTATGTGACTTCATTTAGTTAGGAAATTTTACAAATTGCTTTATATTCTATTGAGTTATACTACACATTTTAGCTAACACTAATTAGCTGACTCTAGGCAGACTATTCTACATTAAATAGGAATAGTCTGCATTAACTCAGATTATATATGGGTGAGCCCAATGTAACCATAAGAATTAATGTCTGAGATGCAATGTTGCTGGCTTTGAAGATGGAAGAAAAGGTCATAAGGAATACGGATAACCTGTGGAAGAAAAGAAAGGAAACTCACATCTTCCCTAAAGCCCCTGTGAACTCCTTGATTTTAGCACAGTAGGACCTATTTTTAACTTCTGACCTCCAGAGCTGTAAGATAATAAATGAGTACATTTTTTTAACCTACTAAGTTTGAGGTAATTTTTCATAGCAACCAAAGGAAATTAAAACAGTCTAATTTGAAAAATGAAGACAAGGATATATTCTATTTCTGACGTAACAACTTTAGGATAAAATGAGTAGGTTACCTTTGGAGACTCAGTTAGAGGGAAAACACTATAAACACTAAAAATATAAACTATTTACAAAATTAAAAACACTTTATAAAAATTATATTTTTATATTTATATAACATATATTTATATTATATATTATTATGTTATATATTATATTACATATTAATTATATATTATATTATTATATTATTATATATTATATTATATATTATATTATTATATAATGTATTATATTATATATTAACTGTATTATATATTAAATTATATAAATTATATTTATAATATATATACAATATATATTATATATATACAGTATATATAATATATATACAATTATATACAATTATGTTTATAAAAATTATAAACACTATAAGCACTAAAAAATCCTGCCATATGTTGGGATTTAAGTCGTATCTAGCTTGTTTGGATACGATTTTGAAACTCAGATAAAATATTCACTTCCCCTTTGAATAACAACACTTTTGGTTGCTTAGAAGCCATTAATTTCACACATTAGCAACTATTTTCTCTTAGAAGGATAAATAGACCTCAAATTCTCTGCAAAGATTTTGACCAAGGTTTGAGACATTATGAAAAGTGCAGTTGTACAAATACATACTTTTTTGCCTACCTATACCTCCAAAATGTGGGTCTCATGGAACTGGGTTCATTAGGATTAGGTTATACTATTTCTTCTACTATCACTTGTCAAGATTAGTCATAAAAGAGAGGTACTTCCACATAACTTAATTTTTAGTTAGGCATTCATGAAATCCCAATGCTATCAAGCTTTGAGAATTCAGATGACTTTGAAATTATTCAACAAAGTAGTTCACTTTGGAATTTTGATCTGTTCATCATTGAATAAAACATTAAATATATAATATAGTAAATACACAAGCATAAAATAAGCACACTTATTTAAATAATTTTTCTTATGTAACTAAATAGTATAAATAGCTTTTATGAACATTACATTTTATTTTTATTCCAATAATAAAAATTTTATAATTCTTCATATTTAGTTATTTGGAAATTAGCTCATTTTTAATAACAATAAAAAACAGATTTAATGCATTTAACCTAATATCTATATTATTACTTCTTTATTACTTTGAATAAAAATGGAGTATGTATTGTGTCATTTTTACTTCAATTAGCAAAACTTCTCCTACCATGCTGTTCATATTTGCTTAGTTCAGTGCTGGTTACTCTCTAAACAGTAAATGAGTCCCCCTGATGAATGCTTTCCCTAGTTTGTAAACTTTTATTACATTACAAGTAAAAGAGATCCTTAGTGAGTAAGTGAAAGTACACACAAGTATGTTGACTCCCTTTGTAAGGATATCTAATCATTGAAGATAAAACTTTGGTGAACATAAATCTGAACATTAAGGCCAACACTGAACAGCATGATTAGTGTTTGTTAGCTATATCTTGTTATATAAACATTTGTGAATTTGTTTAAGGCAGACATTTTTAATCGAAATGTGTAAATGAATCCATGAAAACATATCTAATCAGCAATTTAACTTATTTCTTCTTTCAATTTCTATATTGCTATCAGATTTATTTCATTTCTCAAATTTATGTATAAAAAGCTTTTAAGAAAGATAAGCTATTTTATTTAGAGATTGTAACATGATTGATAAGGATAGAAAACCATTGTATGCCTCTCAATTCTATTGAGCTATTTCCCAGATGCAAAAAGAAGACTTTAAAAAGCAAAGCTGACATTCATTTACATAACTTCAAATTGACTTTTAAATGTTTTCTTATTTTGGGGCACCTGGGTGGCTCATTCAGTTAAGCATATGCCTATGGCTCAGCTCATAATCTCAGGGTCCGGGATCAAGCCACACACTGGGCGTCCCTGCTCAGTAGGGAGCCTCCTTCACCCTCTCCCATTGCCCCTCCCCCACTTGTGCATGCTCTCTCTCAAATAAATAAATAAAATCTTTAAAATAAAACAAAACAAAATGTTTTGTTATTTTAAATCATAAAGTAAATTTTAAAAGAAACATAAAGAATTTATTCATATATCTTCACTTTCAGAAATTATACAGGAATTATATAGAAATTATACTAAGATTTTTTTTTAATGGCAAACAGTGATAGAAAGAATTTGTAAAATCTACTGACAGAACTGTGGCACGACCAACAATTATTCTATTGAATCAATAGTTTACCATGAGACCATTATGTAATTCAAACAAATTATAGATGTGTCTATTTTGATCATTAGTGCCTTCCAAGAAGAGAAAATAATGTAAATTACTATTCCCTTTGGTTTTCTGCCACATTTTCTCTAAGAAAAATAATTATGACAAGAATGTTTTCACATCTTAATTTGTACATTGCCTTGGGCAGGTTATATGATGAATTAGTAGTAAATGGTGACTATTTGATTTTATGTTTTATCAGGAGCTACAACCATAGAGAAATATGACCTCAGAACAAATTTGTGGATCCAGGCAGGGATGATGAGCGGCAGGAGATTGCAGTTTGGTGTGGCTGTTATTGATGACAAACTCTTTGTAATTGGAGGTCGAGATGGCTTAAAGACATTGAACACTGTTGAATGTTACAATCCCAAAACCAAGACCTGGACTGTCTTACCACCAATGTCAACACATAGACATGGTCTAGGTAAGATCTCTTACTTTATTGATATCATTTTTAGAACATTTATTGATAGTGAAAATGTACGTTAAAGTATAGCATTACCATCATCAATTATCATTAACTTTAGGTAAATCATGGGCTTATTTGGAGCATTTTTAAGTTCACGACATTTTCCTGTGTTGATCAGTGTGTGTTAAACTATAGAGAAAGATGTTGAAGATACCAAAATAAGTAAACCTCAAGCTATCGTTAAAATTTTCACAATCTGACATTCATACTTCAATAAGGGAAAAAAAAAAAAAAAGAAAGAGGTAGAACTATCAAGGAGAGGCAAAAGTAATGAAGCCCAGAGGTAGAAATAGTTAATGTGCATTAAGAAAAAGTTAAAATTGAGATAGCTCACTCCCATATTGTTGGATAGACAAGCCTAACCATACTTTTGCATGTAATTAATTCCACCTTGAAAACTCAATTGGAGAAAGGTTTAGAGAAAGGGTAACATCTCATTTAGCACCAGCGGTCAATAATATAGGATTCAACTGATTTATAGTATGGAGTAACCTGGTGATGGGGAGAACTATATTGGGATTCAGAAGATCTGGGTGTGCAACTTGAAAATACCATATTGACATGACTTGAGGGCAGCACTTAAGCTATGAGCCCTCAGTTTCCTGATTTGCCACCAATTCAAAGTTATTAATTAGATAAAAATCTAGTGACGATAATGAATGTGAAATCACTGTGTAAATTGTAAAGTCCTATACATATTTTTGAAAAAGAGGAATGTAATAATGACTAACAGTTTCTGAATTTGTATTTTGTATCATGGGGATTATAAAGAGAAGGGCAAATTAGTTTTTTTTTGAAGACCTGAAATATGTCAGGTAGTCAAATAAGTGTCTTTCGTATATTTAGAATATACACATTAGAGAGGTATCAGGGTTTAATTGAAAATCCACTGATTTAGACATTCATTGGCAAGGAAAATTATAGATCATTTAAAAAAACACATACTAATGATAGTTCAACTTTGAAGTCTTCAGCACCGCATTTCCCATTCTTACCTACTCTACCATTGATCTATGCAAAATTTAAAAAAAAAAAAAAAAGGTAAAAGAACGCTGACCTAAAGCAACTTACCTTTCTGATCTGGTTTACTTCCCTTTTGTTCACATGAGTCATTATTAAATTAAGGAATAGTAATAGTTGTGTGAGACCATTTCAAGTTTTAAAATTCTGTGCTTTAAATTAACACCATATAATTTATTTAAACCACGTGAAACCCAATCATAATATGGAAAATGTGAACAGGCATATGATTCTTTCCAGGTAATATTCATGAGTACAAAAGTTTTCTTATATGATTTTTTTCAAATATATTGGAGGATATTTGTTTTTATATCCATGTGAAAGCTGTATCTGTTGTTTTTATTATCTTGCTATCTAATTATCTATTTCTATTGGAGTGAAATACAGAAAATAAGCACTCTGGATTGGAATTTTTGGAATTTAATGTCTTCTTCCTTTTTGTTTTAGACAATTCAATTCTTTTCTACTAAGGTATATTGAAGTTCAATTATGCAGGTTATTTGCATGCCAAGAGAACATACCTCAAAATGTTTCACCAAGAATACATCTTACATGGTGTTAATTTCAAGTGTTTAAAGTGTATAAGATGATGGTTTTGCCTCAAAATACTATCATACAGATTCTGGTCTTTTTGGTATCAAGGTGGGGCAAAGTAGTAACCTTGGATACTGTTTTTTAGTTTGTCTTATTTGCTAAAGAGTTTGTTTTAAAGGTCCGTGTGGAAGTAAGGCTGCATAGCAAATCATATGAGTTTAATAACTATCACAAATGTCTGAAATGTAATGCAGCATTTCTCATAAGTTTTAGTGACCCAAAGCAACTGTAGTCAGTATTTTCATGCCTCAGCCTCTCTTGTTTTGTGGTTTTTGTTCTGCTTCACTTCCATTATCAAGTGGATCACCTCTCCTCCATATCTCATGCCTCTCGTTTCCTCTCTGTTTTACTTCCAAGTGGCTATTGCTTCCTGTCAGTTTTTAAAAAAACTCTCTACAATACTCTTCAAGATATGACCTTGTTGAGTTAGTGATAGACATCATGTCTGGACACAATTCTCATCTCAATGTGCCTCATAGATTGCTAGCAATGCCCAGTACACAGAAAACTACCTTCAACTTGGATGCCAACCCAAAATCCAATCAGTTGAAGCCAGATTGATAGCAACACAAGACACATGTGTTCTCTGATGAAGCTGAATATTTTCTTTAAGATCAATCACATTCCTTATCAACAGTTGAATCTCAGGAAGTTCATCATTCTGGTCATACTCAAATGCAGTGAAACTCCTTGGCCTAAGATTCTTGTTCCTTCAATATAACATATCAAGCTTTGATTTAGCTTCTTTCTTCCAAGGACTACCATTACACTGATATTGGTATTTCTTATTTAATCCATCATATCTTTCAAGTTTAATTTTATATGTTTCCCTTTATCCCTTCCTGATGACCAATTTTACTATCTAGTGCTCCAAATTTTTCCTAATCTGTGTGCATTATGGTACCTCTCCCATGTATTGATGTCTTGATCTTTATTAACTTTGTTTTTTACATATTCATTATTCCTATTTGATAATTCACTATAATTGCTTTCTTCTCCATGACATTAATATTCTTCCTTATCTCTGTGAGGCTATTTATTATGCCTATTTCAAATTCCTATCTACCACTTTAATTAATTTCTTATTTATATGTGATCATCTTCCTTCTCTAAGCTCTCTCTCTTCTTACTCTTCTCTTTCTCCTGTTAGTTCTTTGTCTCCTCCTTCTGTTTCTCCTCTTCTCCCTTTTCCTCTTCTTCTTCTTCCTCATATCTATTTTTTTCTTCCGCCTTTTCTTTGTCCTTCTCTTCAAATTCTATTTAATAGTAGTTGAACCCATTGAAATATGTAATATTTAACTCTATTTTCAACTGTAATTCTTAAGTCATATGGACATATCAGATACTTTGGCTAAGGCATATGCCATTCTTTGTGTCTTCCCAAAACATTCAGGAGTGGATGGGAGAATTATGCCAGGGTGTGGAGCCCTAAGCCTGCAAACTGACTCTGGTCAACCTATCTGCTGTTATTCCTATCACATAACCCCCTGGGACACATCTATTACTTTCATTTGCACACAAATATCCTTGAGCCTTTCTTCATCTGTGATGCCCTACTATAGGATTGGGAGCATGGATAGGAAGAGAAAATTCTGAACCAGCAAGAGCTGTTAACAGTTCCTCATCTAAGCTGGGCTCTGATGACTTCCTGACATCATCCAGCCAATTATTTCAAGCTCTTCATAGGTGCTACTCTATCACTGTCATGCAGTGTATAAGATGCAGTAGCTCTTCTTTTAGCTACATCGAAAGAGCACAGATCAAATTTTCCCTCTAACATATTCCCCCAGGGAAGTGCCATGAATTTTTGTCTCACTAGTAAGTCACAGCTGTTGTTCTGTTTTTCTAATTATTTTTCACAGTCCTGACATCTGCTTTTCAAAAACACACCGTAACTCTCACTTTCATGCAATCCCCAGGATTGGGTCTGAGTGTAGATCAACAGCCTTCTGTGCTAGTTTTTTTTTATTTGTTCAGAGGAAATTAGAATGTCCCATCTTATTTGCTGTAGAGTTAATCAGTACCTATTCTGTGGTATACCTATTTGACTATGTAATCCCATATTAAACTTTCAAGTGACTAGAAGTAAAGGCTAAAGTAAAATTTAAAAAATATATATCAAATAAAAATTCAAGACTTTTGACCTATATAACTTTTTTCCTCCCTTGATTTATATAGGAAAAACAAAACTTGAATTATTTTTTGAGAAAAACAAAACTTGCATTATTTTTTGAGAACATGAGTCTTTGGTTGCTAAAGATGATTATGTGACCAAAAAAGTTTCATAGCTATCAATAAATGAAGAAATCTCCTTCTGCTGAATAAAATAGCGTAGAAAAATTATATGCATATCAAGTCTGGATGTCAAAAGAGCAATGCTTCTGCCTAGAGAATTAAACTAATTAAGACCACAGTTCTCTCAATACACTAAGAGGTTTTATTTTGACATTTATGTCTTTGAAGCACATAATTCTAGATATCATGCTTTTTCTCCACCACATTTTATATCATATAAAACTGAATAAGGGGTGCCTGGATGGTTCAGTCTTTAGATGTCTGCCTTCAGTTCCAGTCATGATCCCAGGGTCCTGGGATCGAGTCCCACATTGGGCTCCCTGCTCAGCAAGAAGCCTACTTCTCCCTTTCCACTCCCCCTGCTTATATTCCTCTCTCTCTCGCTGTGTCTCTCTCTGTCGAATAAAAAAATGAAATCTTTAAAAAAAAAAAAAAAACCCTGAGTAAAACATTACTGCAATACATTGTTTGCAATTATGTCTTTTCAAGAGAAATTGATAAAGAGTAAGAGCTATGTTTTATTATGGATTTTCTATATGCTAGGCACCATGTTGTATATTACATATATGGTAGAAGTTGCCTTAGTTGTTTTTGTGTTTAGTTGATTTAGTTGTCAATTGAGGCAAAATTCACACACCATAAAGATAAGCTTTATTTTATTTTTATTGAAAGATTTTATTTATTTGACAGGAAGAGAGAGGAAGAGTGAGCAAGATCAAGGGGAAAGGCAGAGGGAGAAGCTAGCTCCCGCTGAGCAGGGAGCCAAATGCAGGGCTCCATCCCAAGCCCCTGGGATCACAATCTGAGCTGAAGGCAGCCATTTAACTGACTGAGCCACCCACCTGCCCCTAAAGTTAAGTTTTAGAGTATAGAATTGAGTGCTTTTGAGTACATTCATAGTTGTGCAGCTATCACCCTATCCAATCTCAAAATATTTGTGTTATTGTAAAAAGAAACTCTCCACCCAATAGCACTTGTTCTTCATTGTCCCATCCTTCTAACCTCTAGCAACAATTAATCTACTTTTTGTCTCTATCGATTTGCCT